GCTGCGGCCGCCCTCTCTCTCCCTCTCTTTCTCCTTTCCCGGGATCGCGCCACTCGTGTAAACTGTTTAAAGCGAAAAAGGAAGGAAAAAAAAGGGGAGAAAGTTTGGTTTGCTAATCACGGACCTCATCGCCCGTGTCGAGGCGACAGCGCGACAGCCGGGCTGTAAATACATTACCCGCGGCCCACGCAACCAAAATCGGATTGCCAGAAATTTGCCCAATTGCCCGGCCCGAGTGAGAGAGCCTTATAATGGCGGGTGTGACGCTCCGCGGAAAATGGTCGCAACCACGCAATGGGGTCCTGCTGGCGACCTCTCGGCAAAGCTTTTTCAGTCACGAGTCGGGGTCTGTCCTTCGTCCATGGACCATTACTTTTTGTAATCATCACCATTGTCTTGCCCCCGGTCGTTCGGCAATATCAATAATCGAGTTTGGGAGTCGAGACGTGGCCATCCGAGTGAGAGATATCACGTCGACTCGTCGGGCGGTGGCGCACGCCGATTTGCAAAACACTCGACGAGTATTTATCGGTGTTGCCGAATCAATAAATACATAATGTGCTATGTGTATGGCAGGGTGGAAGCGGTCCCAGAGAAGGAGAAGGTGAATTTGTTGGCCGCCTGCCCGATCGTGATACGAGTTCCACAGGTGCTAAACTCTAATTCAAGGAGGTGTTGGCTTCCGTTGCCAATAGCAGTTGTGTGTATTTGGTGCCAACGTAAACATTTATTTGGTCGCTCCCCCTTTTTTTTCTCCTGGCCAATAATACAAGACACAACGATGTGGCGCGAAATAAAATTATTTGGGATCTGAAATGATTCCGCACTGCAGTGGTGACCCACGGTGCAGCCCTTTAATACTGATGGAAACAACGTTAAGATTAACCGAATTGGGTACTTTAAGGCCGTTGCGGTGACTAGGGTCCAACGCCACTGCCATGGCCACTGCCACGGCCTCCCTATTGCATTAGTGCGGTCCAGATAGCCAGGATTAGTGGGTCGCTTTAGTGGCCTGTACCTGTACTGTGATGGCCTTGATTAAATTATGCCATTATTATTATGTCCGCTGGGGACTAGGGACTTGCCATAAATATCTCGACATGACCAAAATGACCAGCCGGTCTGATGGCTGTTTGTATCTTGCCGGTCTGCCCAGCAAAGTAGGGAATCGGTGTTTCTGCTTCGCGTCTAAAGTTTCTACGTTTGTACTTTGCTGTGTGTTCTTTTGTGGTTCTTGTAACTCAGGGCAGCGTTTTATATGGGACCGAACAGTGCTGCCTCTCCTTCAAACTGATACAAGGATCAGCATCCTTCCGGACAACAGACATGGCCCCTTGTTACTCACAGCACCGCAAGTTCGGCTGCGGCATGTTCCCGCCTTGTCATGGAGGGGAGAAGTGGGGGCCCGCAGCTCCAACCCAGTCAGAAATGGCTCATCGAAACGTACTGATTGGTGGCCGGACCGTCTGCACATCGGACTGTCGGCAACTTGCGTAGCGAGCGGGCCAGGGGGGTTTGCTCCCTGGGGGCACCCGACACTCCACGGCCGCTCCAAGGCGTGACACATCAGGGTCCCCTCCTCCGCCACGCACTTCTCGCACGCCCTTGTGATCCGGCAGGACGTCCTCCGAGCCGTGAAGTGTCACACTCGAGTGTCCAGCCCCGCCTTAATAATATGTACGGAAAGGGCGGGCCCCGCGCCACCCCATGCCGTCCCCGCCTGTCCCCCGTATCCGGCCCCCTAGATGGATGGCCTCACAGACCCTGCCAGCGAGTCCGGCCTCAGCCCAGCCTGCTGGACGCGTCGTACCCGTTGCTGCCTTTGTACGGGGCCGGTCTTTCGTCCAGTCTGTGGACCGGCACTCAAGCGAAAGAGATTGATAGCCGATTCGTGCTGCGCTCTGGCGGCCGTTTTTTAACATCGTGTACCGGCGGCCTGAAGCGCTGCATCACGCCCGAATAAAGGGGAGCCGCTTTCGGAAAGTGGGGTGGGGTGCGGGGTCCCACCGAGGCCCGCCAGTGCCCGCCAGTGCTCCGCCCGCCAAGTGGCGACAGGTGACGTCATAATTAAAGCAAATTGATGGTTGCGTCGTTTTGTTGCTGAGCGGAGCTGTCAGCCGCCCCGACCCGGCCAGACGGAGGAGTTATTTGGGGAGGTGACTAGGTCCCGCGAGTCTCTCAGAGCACGTCTCTTAAGTCCCTGCCGAACGATGTGTGTGCTTACACGAAACGCTCGTGTAAGTCCGCCTGCGAGTGTGTGTACACATTCCCCCTGCCAGAGGGAGTGGGTATCGCCGGAACGGACTGTTTGAAAATCGTTTCCCTTTGCTATATTTGTGTTGGCTTGGTGACGTGCAGCGTGGCGAGCAGCTCAAAACGACATGCTTCCCTTCCTTGTTTCCAATTATTTTTGTTTATTTTAGCACCGACCATTACCCACTTTAAGAGTGAAAACAGTTGCGCCATGTATTTATACGTTTTTTTGGCTCCTTGAATAACTGCTTGGAGGAAATCACGCAATACGTTCATTTTTCCTCATGGTGCACCAAATGCTTATTCAATGAATGAGCGTTTTCTCTTTTTGCTTCTTAATATAAATTTAGAGGGGGAGGAGAAGAGGCAGAATTGCACTGTAACTACCAGCACGCCTTAGCACAGAATTTGATTGTTGCGAGGCCGTGACGAGGGTGTGCTTGTTGGAGGGTGCGACTCGCAGCCAGCGGCGCCCGCTTCGGACGCGTTGCCAGCGCTGCGAGCGTCGCGCGTCGCAAGAGACGACAGCTGCCTGTCTTGAAATTGGGCCGCGAGCGGGGCGAGCAGAGCAGCAGGCCCAGCAATTCTCCATGTCATCTTCAGGCTCGAGCGCTTTCTAGATTACGGCTCAAGACGTGTTCTATTTACTAATGTGCCTCGTGACCCGCTCCACGCATTACCCGTGTTACGACGTCGTGCCTCGTCTGTTTCTGCGCGACCCAGATAGACGCGGGCGGAGCTGCAAGAATGTGGGATTATTGGCTCGCGACGGCGAAAGAGATTAGGGGGAATGAGAAACAGTTAACGCAATTGTATCTTAACAGTGGCTGCTTCGTTTCTAAACCTTTCCCCCGGGTTTTTAATAGAATTATAAATATTGCTTGTTAAGCCAGTAGGCATTTGCTTTTCTTCGTTTAAAAACTGTGTTGGGCCTCGCCTTGAGCCTTGAGGCGGTCGGGATGGATTTGAACACTTGTAGACAGCCGGCACGTCCGCCAAAGCCTCTAATTACCCCAGGCCTGCGTGATGGAGGGGCTCAGTGCTGCCCCCCGCGGTCTAGACCCAAAGCGCCCCACCGCCTCGCCGCACAGACGTGACGCCGCCGTGCCGCCGTGACGCACGCGCGGTGCATTCATCATTTGGCCTAGACGAGACGCTACGAGGTGCGCTTTTAACTTTCCTGGTTTGAACCGTAGGCGTCCGCGCAGCGTAAAGATTTAACAAGGTGTCTTCGATGTGATATAAAAATGCGGTTATCCGATAATACTGGCGTTTGGGCTATAATGACTGGGTTGGATGAATTTTCAGACCAAAGCATCTCTTTTCCAAATCCCTTTAGACCAGCTTAGAAAAACAGTGTCTGCCAGGTTTCGGCCAACTTACTTACGTCACTTGCTTATTATTTCGACTGTTGTCACAGCGGCATCGAAATTCGTGCTACAGTCCAGCATGAGGGCTGTAACTCAGAGCCTGAACGTTCTGCTAGGTCTGAAGCGTCTGACGCCCGGGCATGGCGAGGGATGCGCTCTTCTGAATTTCCGGCGGTAGTGGAGGATAATCTCTGCTTCTCGTAGTAAATCTTGCCCGTTGACGCGGGGGCCTGCGGTGAGGCCCCACCTACCGGATATGAGCCGACGTGTTGGCCAGAGCTCTACCCCTGTCTTGGCAGGGCCCTGCTGGTTACAACGTCACGTCTCTCCGACATGAAGAGCGCTTAACAAAACCAGAGAGCCATTCCGAAATGAAACGATGAATGTTGAATCGTGTCTGCATATTTTATGACATTAAAGGACGCGAGCCAGACCGCGCGGCTTAGAATCAAACTACTTACCAAACATATGTCATCTTGACACTGTAAAAGGCAAAGTACTGCAGCTTCCTTCTTTGAGTTTTGTGTGCTAGTCATTATGTGCCAAAATACGCGTTTAAAAAGAGCTGCCGACGTGGTCTCACCTTGTTGCGCCTACCGTCACATTGTTAGACCTCACACGAGCAATGAAGCATCCCAGGCACTCTGGCAAAAGTTTGGGAAAGTTATTTTGGCAAGGGCACCACAAGGTCGAGAGCAGAGCAGCTTCTAATCCTCGCGTGTGGGCTCTCATCTCAGTAAGAGCCAAGATAATACTGTAGTGGTGACCTGGAAGAACGCGCGTCTAAGCCAATACGGCAACGCGTCGTCCGTGCCCAGTGCAAGGAAAGCCCCTTTTGGCATTATCTTGCATGTGTACGTCCTCTGTTCATATCAATACTTTTGCCTTAAAACACGACCGTAACCGTGTTTCAAATGTTATTGGTCGATCTTTTAAAATACGTATCATGTGCTGTCTGTAAACTTTATGGTTTTGCCAATTTGTTTGACTTTGTTTTCTTTTCATTTGCAGGTGGGTGAAATTAGACAGTATAGAAGACGACACGCGTGTCACAGAGGTCACTGTGTGGGCCTGGTAGGCCAAAGGCTGCTCATGAAGGCTCCCATAGCCCATTGTCCCCTCCATGGAGGCCAGTACGTTGGTCTGTAAGTGGCTTGACCTGCCGCTGACAGACGGCCAGCTGTATTGTCAGTGGCACCACCTTGTTGTCCACGCCATCAGCTTAATGCGAACAGCGCAACCCGACGCAGTTAGGCCCGGCGTGCTAAGTTTAGGCAGCAAGTTGTTTTCGTGACGTGCACACCATAAACGTCGACTCTCTTTTATTCAGCTAACGCAGATGCTTTTTACAAGTTTACAAAGTTATTGCAAAGATAAGAAAAATGGCAAACATTGATCGTTAACAGTACATTTATTTGTAAAATTTTTATCAGTCGTATTATTTCTTAAATTAAACTCTTTTTCACTTAACTTACGTTTTACCCAAACACATTCGGTATACTCGGCGGACGTGGCAATTGAGGTATCCCAGGGACGCTTGCCCCGCCTACTTTGCCACCTCCCCCGAGGACACTACTTCCCAGACTCCCACCACTTCCAGGCAAACTTGGTAAATGTGGAAGTGCCCCATTCCCTATGCCTCCTCCAACTCCTGGCAGATTTGGTAAGCTTGGCAAACTAGGGAGAGACCCTCCGCCAAGCCCTCCTCCCCCTCCGAGTCCACCACTTCCAAAACCCGGTACACTAGGCAAACTAGGCAAATTACCGCTCCCTAGACCTCCTCCAACGCCTTGAATATTTGGTAAATTGGGCAGACTTCCACCACCAAGGCCACTACTGCCCAAGCCACCTCCAATTCCTGGCACACTTGGCAAATTAGGCATGTTTCCCGCCGCTAGACCTCCACTTCCACCTAGACCACCACTACCCATTCCTGGCACACTTGGCAAATTGGGCATGCTTCCTACCGATATACCTCCACCACCACCTGAACCACTGCCCATTCCTGGCACACTTGGCAAATTAGGCATGCTTCCCCCAGACAGTCCTCCACTTCCACCTAAACCACTACTTCCCATTCCTGGCAACTGAGGAGTGCTAGGTAGCGTAGGTAAACTTCCGCCGATACCTCCACCTTGATTTGCTGTACCACCTCCCATGCCCTGCAGCCCTCCACCTCCTTGCATGCTGCTCGCCACCCTGCCCGCAGTTTCCAGAATGGCTTTGACCGTCTCGGCTTTATCGTGCATCACCTGCATCATGTGTTGGTGGTGTTGGTGGTGACCAGACATGTGACCGCACCCTATTCCCATTGGTAAGGTGCCCCCAGGTGAATTGCCGCCCGTTCCGGGTAGTGCAGAAGCTCCACTCATTCCCGAAAGTCCTGGCGGTCGGGGCAGGGATGGTAAACTACCACTCGGTAGGCTTCCCGACAGGCTTGGTGGTTTTGGCAAGCCGGGCAAGTTTGATCCCATGCCTGCCAACCCACCACTTGTCCCAGGAATGTTCCCCGAAAGCCCACTGCCTCCGCCTGAAGAAAGCCCTCCTCCCAATCCGGATGGTGGGGAAACATTGGGCATTCCTCCACTAAATCCTGGTGGACGGGGCAAATTTCCGCCTGATATGCTTGGTGGCTTTGGCAGGCCAGAACCCATGCCTGACAACCCCCCACTTCCCCCAGGAATGTTGGCTGAAAGCCCACCACCTCCGCCTGAGGAAAGCCCTCCTCCCAATCCGGAGGGTGGGGAAAAATTAGGCATTCCTCCACTCATTCCTGGTGGACGGGGCAAGGAAGGCAAATTTCCACCCGATATATTAGGAGGCTTTGGCAGACCAGAACTGATGCCTGACAAACCCCCACTTCCTCCAGGAATGTTGCCTGAAAGCCCGCCGCCTCCACCTGACGCAATCCCTCCTCCAAGTCCAGGTGGTTGTGAAAAATTGGGCATTCCCCCGCCCATCCCTGAAAGCCCTGGTGGGCGGGGCAAGGAAGGCAAGTTTCCTCCCGATATGCTTGGAGGCCTTGGTAAGCCAGATCCGGAGGTTGGCAGCCCCATACTTCCTACAGGGATGTTTCCTGATAGCCCACTACCACCACCACCTGATGGAAGCCCTCCTCCCAGTCCGGGTGGTTGTGAAAAATTTGGCATTCCTCCGCCTACATTTGGAGGACGAGGAAAGGAAGGCATATTACTACCCGGCAGACCTGACATGCTTGGGGGTTTGGGTAAGGATGGCAAGCTACCACCCACGCTAGACAACCCACCACTTGTCCCAGGTAGCTTGCTTGGGAGTCCCGCGCTCCCACCTTGTGACAGGCCTCCCCCTACCCCTGACATACCGGACTGGCCAGAAAGATTTGGTCGCCCAGCTTGCATGCCTCCTCCAAATGACATGCCTTCTGGCATTGATGGAGGGCGAGGCATATTTCCATTGCCCACAGGCATGCCTCCACCTGCAGAAGGAAAGTTTCCTGATATGCCTTGAGGACGGGAAAAGTTTGGTCTCCCAACCTGCGTGCTGCCCGCTCCGGATGGCAAATTTTCTAGCATTGACTGAGGACGAGGTAAGTTTCCACTGCCGCCACCAGCAGGTGGGAAGTTACCCGACATGCCTGGAGGACGAGAAGAATTTGGTCTTCCACCCTGCATGCCACTGGTTCCTGGTGACAGATTTTCTGGCATTGACTGAGGGCGAGGAAAGTTTCCACCAGCCCCACCAGCAGAAGGGAAGTTACCCGACATGCCTGGAGGACGGGGGAAATTTGGCCGCCCACCATGCATACCGCCGGTTCCGGACGACAGGTTTTCTGATGTTGATGGAGGGCGAGGAAAATTGCCACTGCCCCCATTACCAGCAGGGAGGTTAACCGATATGCCTGACGGAGTGGAAAAGTGCGGTCGTCCAGCTTGATGATTCTGACCTGATGAAAAGTTTCCCGAAATCGCTTGGGGGCGCGGGAAATTATTATTACTACCTCCGGTAGGGAAGTTACCGGTCATGCCTGGAGGACGGGAATAGTTTGGTCGCCCGCCTTGCATACCATTTTCAGGTGATATATTTTCTGGCATTGGCCGAGGGTGAGGAAAATTTCCACTTCCGCCAACCATACTACCACCAGCAGACGGAAGGTTACCAGCCATGCCGGAAGGACGAGAATTGTTTCGTCGAGCTCCTTGCCAACCACCTCCAGACGGCAGCTTTTCTGGTATTTGTTGAGGGCGAGGGACGTTTGAATTGCTCCCAGTCATACTCGCACTCTGCAAACTTCCACCGACATTTGAACTACTTACGGATAGATTTGGCGGACGAAGGTGGCCAGGCCGGATGGCAGAATTTTGCCCAATTGTTTGCGGTCCCAGGTGGATTGTACTTGGCGCGTTGCCGCTGCTCGGCCGTGAGAGTGGCCTCTGCGATTCCGCAGGATTGGGAACACTTCCAACGCCACCAATATTGACCCCCGCGTTGGAATAGCCCTGCCCACTCATCATGATAGGCGGCGACGGTGCTTCTGCGTATCCATCGTCTGACTGTTCAGGTCTGTACTCCTCTCCACCTGACCCCCCACCTGAAAACTGATATTGTGAATTTGGCCCCGGCTCTCTATTTTGTGAATACGGTAGAGACGCAGACCCCGCTGCAGCAGCCTGCTGGTTGGCCGAATTTTGAAAGTTTGCCTGGAAATCGGGGCGAGCAACATTGGTGCCGCCGTTAGTACCCGTGTTTACCGGGGGCCGCATTCCAGGAGGACGGTACTCGCCGCCACCCCAGCCCTGCGGCCCCTGCGGCGGGCGCGGAAAAGGAACATTACTGTCTGAGAAATTTTCCTGCGCGGTCGCCCCCGCACCAGTTCTGCCACCCGCCAAACCGCCTTCCTCGCCACCGGAACCCGCTTTGTTTTCGCCTCCGCCCTCGCCAGAAAAACTAGAACTTTGTCCTCTGCGACCCCCACTCGCACCCTGGCCCTGCTGGCCCACAACCACCCCATCATTGTTCCCAAAATTGACGTTCACGTTTGAGTGTGGCCTCTTGCCCGACCAAGATCCAGATTCCCCGCCCTGAGTACCGTCAGCGCCACCCACAGCGATGTCGAGTGAGCCACTGTCTGCGTTGTCGGGGCCACGGCCGTCTATGTAACTCGCTGGCCCGCCCATTCCCGCTGAGAATCGAGTAGGACCACTGCTGTCGAAGCCACCGCCGCCCTGGGTTGACGTGCCCTGCGCTGCGTAGCCCACTGCGCCTGGAAAGGCCGCGCCCTCTCCGATGCCAGTGCGGTCGCCGGAGTAGCCGCCGGAGACGCCGCCGTTAGCGTAGCCGAGTGGCGCCGCCCATTGGTCGGTGGCAGCAGCAGAGTATTCGCTTTGTGCGTAGTTCCCTTGGGCGTAGCTTCCTGGGGTGTAGCTGCCTGGGGTGTAGCTGCCTGGGGTGTAACTTCCTGGGGTGTAGCTTCCTGGGGCGTAGCTACCTGGGGTGTAGCTGCCTGGGTTATAGTTCCCTGGGTCGTAGCTGCCAGACGAATAACTGCCTGGCGTGTAGCTTCCCGACGGGTAGCTGCCAGGTGCGTAGCCCCCGGCGGCGTAGGCGTTCCCGCCGCTATCGGGAGACTGGCCGTTGGTACCGACGCGGCTCGCGGCGTCCCCGCTGGCGCCGATGTTCACTCCAGCACTTCCGGGGGGCGTGCCGCCACCGCCACCGCCGACGTTTACCCCGGAAGACGCGGTGCTCCCGGAGGACAGGCTCCCGACCAGCACGGTGCTGCCGTTACTGCCAGCGTCGATAACCGTTGCGTCGCCACCGTCGTGACGGCCCGGCTTCCGCTTTCTTCCGACAACGAAGTGCAGATGCCGCTTGGGCCTGCCGGCGCTTCGGCCGAGCGACGTCTGGAAATTACAGAGGCTGAGGGGTGACGTCGTATTTAGCACTGAGTCTGCGAATGTGGAAATGTAAGTGACTTACCTCCGTGCACGTGGCCGTCGGGATGGTAGCCGCCAGCAGGGCCAAGGAGCTGAGGAGCAGGACGAATGCACCGCACTTAAAGCCAGCTTGGATCCTGCCGAACATGATCAGACCCTTGGCGGATTCTTATCGGGCGGACCCTTAGTGCAGATCCTTGCTCAGCTTTTTGGTCCGATCCTTGTTCAGACCCGTGTTCAGTGCAGGTCCAATCCTAGGCCGGTCCTTGGTGGGGCCCTTGGACCGAATGGACCCTTGACCAGTGAACCCTTGATCAAACCCTCGCGAAACAGGCCGCAGTGCCGCTCTTCCAATTATCGGTCGTATCGACAGGGCGCGCCGCGGGCCTTGTTGTGGCGCCTGGAGCCCGCCTCGGAGCGCCGATGGCTTTCGCCGCGAAATTCGGCACGGGTCCGCTTCAGCTGCGTCATGTTCCGGCCCCTCGGTGCGACGGAGCTCCCTCCATGTCGCTGCAGCCGGCGGTGTACTAGGGCCTCGACGCTCCGCGCTGTCGCGACCAGTGCTCGCCGAGTTTCGGTCCATCGACAGCACGAACGGACAAACCGCACGCCATCGCCATTTAGCGGAAAACAGAGAAAAAACGAAACACGCAACATGCCACAGCGTCCTCTGTCGCCACTACTGTTCCTCTTCCATTGATTGCGTCCAATATGTTCGCCTTCAAGCGCACAACGCAGGAAATAACAGCCTTAAACGCCACGTAACTTCAGGGAATTTGAAAGGGAAAAGGAACTTTTCAACATAGCTGTTTGAAGCAACTCCTCCTGCGTGAAGAGTAGCGTTGTCCGAGGCCGCCCCACCCACGGTAATGACCTGATTAATAACGACGAGGATGATCAGCCGGCCGTGACGCGGCAGACCGCCGCGGTGCGCCGCGGAACGAGGCTGGCATCCAAGCGGGCTGCGGGGCGGTTCGCGGCGGAGCGGACGCCAAATTATGAAGCTCCCTCCAAAAACGCCTGGCGGAGAGGTGTACATAAACGCGGCGACGACAGCGCGTCGAGCCGAAAGCATTCCGCGGAACGAAAATTAATCACGGAACACAATGGGCGGCGCGTGCTTTGTGCTTTGTGTCCGTCTAATTGACAGTTTCCCTGTTTTCGGCCAGGCCCAGCCAGGCCCAGCCAGGCCCAGCCCAGGGCTTTACCGCTTGACACCGATTTCATTTCGAACTGTAGCACCTCGGACAGCAGTCTGCCAGTCTGGCTGGCTCTGGCTGGCGGAGGCCCCGAGGCGAGGAACCGAGAAGGAGGGAGGGGAGCGGGAGTTTAGGGAAGTTTTGGCGTCTGGTGGCGCGGCGCGTCCCGGCGCGGTGCGGGCCGGTGCACGCCAACCTCCCTACCTCAACGATCCAACCGCGGCCCCCCTGCCTTTTGTTGTCGCTGCATGCTGTTGTTGTTACCTGGCGCCGAGGTGTCCTGCCAAAATAAAAGGCCTGAGCCTCGTGCTTCGAGACCGCAAGTGGCGATGGCTCAGCGAGCCGGAGGCGTGGTGGCATGTGAGGGGCCGTCATTTCAGAGGGAATGTCCCTGCTCCGCCACCGAGTGAAGCGGCCGCGCCAGGGGACGGTTCCGCATCACCAGTGGCGTAGCCGAGGCTGCCGCACCGTCGGGGGATATTTCCACTCCGCCAGTGGCGTAGCTCAGTGAAGCGGCCGCGCCATTAGGGGGTAGTTCCTGCCGCGGACCCGCGTCGGCGGCGGCAAGCTGCAGGATCCACCCGGCAAGTTTCACCCCTGGGAAATTTCCAAGCCACAATCCCACATCCTTCCCCCATTGCGGTCCGCCCCCAGGCGGGGCGCCGCGGCTCGCAGCCCACCCAACTACTGCTCCTTCGTGTAATGGCCTGGTACGCACAAGCTGAAAGGTGAGTGCCATCATAGGAGTGCCTCCTCGGCCAGTTCGCCGAAACGAATGGCGCAGTGCCTCTCGCCCGAGGCTGCGATTTGACGTGGAGGAAGAGCGCAGCGCATCAAAGTTGGCGCGTTAGCCCGCCCACGAGGCGCCGCGACGCCCCGCGACGCCCCGCGACGCGCCGCGAGGCAGAGGCAAACCAATGAGTGTCTCGCTGCGAGCCAATGATCCATACCGTCGCGTTGCGCCCTGCCCCCCGCCCCGCCACGCCCCGCCACGCCACGCCACGCCCCGATAGGCGCGACTTGGCCTTCGCCGCACCGCCGCCATCAACACTGCTGGAAAAGTTCCAAGCGGGGAAAAAGCGGCGCGTTGTGTGCGCGCCGCGAAAATTTCCAGAGATTAGTGTCGCAAGTTTGGTGGGTGTCGGCGCCGCGGTGTTGCTGCTCCACGCCGCCCCGCCCCGCCCCGCCCCGCCCCTCGATACGGTGTAACTGCGGTGGTAACGGGCTTAGCGAGTTGGACGCGCTGGCGTCGTGAGCGAGGGCCGACATTGATTAAGGCCGTCAGAATGCCGGCGCAGCAGCGAAACGACGTGCCGTCCCGGCCCCCGCGTCGGCCTCCTCGTCGGCCTCGCCGGCCTCGGCGCCCGTCGCGCGAAACTGTTATTCCCGCCTGGGCGCCGAGCGCGCCGAGGACGCCGGGCGAGCGGCCCGAGCAGTGCGTGCTCTCAGCAGCAATTTCCGGGCGCGCGGCTTTCCCGGCCCGACAATTAAAATTCCCTGACCTAGCGGCTCCGCTTCGCGCTCCGCTCCGCCTGCCTTTTTGTGTTTTTCAGGCCGCGATCGCCGGACAAGGTGCGCGCGTTTGCAGTGGCAGTGCGGCCGACTGAAAGGTCGGAGGATTTCGGCGAGTGAAAGGTCGCCTGCCTCAGCCGCTTCGCTGTGGCTGCAGGGCAACGACAGGCCAGGGCCCGGGGCAGGGCCCACAGCCCAGGGCCCACAGCCCAGGGCCCACAGCCCAGGGCCCACGGCCGGGCTGGGGTGGGCGGTAGGTCGCACGCGGCAGCGCCAGCCAAGCGTCAAGCCCCCCCTGCCTCTCCTTTTAATTAAGTTTGCAAGGGCGGAACAATGGCGGCGAGCTTGTCCAGGATCACGACAGTGCCGCCCCACTTTCGCCCCTCCCCTCCCCCTGAAGTCAAGATTGTGAAGACGTGTGAGCAGCGCGCCAGTCTGCATGCCGAAGGAGGTGCGGGTGCCCGGCCGGTCGGGCCCAGGGCCCAGGACCCGCAGGCCGAAGGTGCGAGTGGCCCGATTACAACGCCGAGATCCCAAGTCCACGGAGACGTGGAGCAGAGGAAACTGAAATCGGACGGCCCGCCACGACGGTCCCTGACGGTCCACCCGCGCGGACGGGGACGGACGGCGAGGTGAACAGAGCGGCGCCGCGGACTCGTGGAATACTTGGGGAGGGCCCATCTGTGAAAGCTGCGCGCCACAATAAGAACAAGGGACATGACCCGTGACGAGTCACTGAGGCTCAGAGAGTACCAAAGGCTGTGCCGGGCTGTGCCAGGGCCTTTGCCTCACCCTGATTGACTGCCACTGCTCGTCAGTGATTGCGGCATAGGCACCGCCCTTTCATACTTTTCCTCTTTCTTCGCTCATCCCCCCGCCAGCCCCTGTCCCTCCCGGCGATGCCGACGGCTGCCGACCCCGTGTTCTTTGACACGTCCGCTGCGGCGAACCGCGCCGCCATTCCCGCAGTCATTCCCCGCCCGAATGGGCGGCTGAAAAACGCGCCAAAAGCCTCAAATCTGGGTTTGAAAAGTGAAACTCGCACAGTAGGCGTTCCTTTCTAAATCGCTGAAAAAAGGTATTGCCCCACAGTGGTTTCATTCTATAATCACTGATAAAAATTCCGTAGTTTTGTACGGAAAATGTACAGACGAAAATGATAAGGAAGTACGGAAAAAAGTACGGAACGCCCGTACTTGTCCCATAAGAACTAATGTAATCGGGTACGGAAAAAAGGGGGAGTTGTTCATTTCTCCTACCTAAATGTTCGCCTACCTGTCTATTTCGCCTACCTATATTTCGCCTACCTAATAAAAATATTGAATAAAAATATTCAATAAAATATTGCCATTTATCGCCTACCTATAGTTCGCCTACCTAATAAAAAAATTAAATAAAAATATTCAACAAAAAAACGAAAAAATCGGCGGCAAAAAGTGGCAATACGAAAGTCTCAAGGAGACCCGCCGATCAGCTTCGGTGTTCTTATGGGAACCGGGCCTTCATCCGACGCTCCCTGCCGCGCAATTCGACAGATTAGTGGGTTCGTATTGGGCTGGCCCACCCGAAGTGCGCGCGGTTTCTGTGGTACAGTGAGAGTCCAGATTCAGAGGCCTTACCTCAGAGGGGTCACATTGGGTATTTGAACCCGCGACCCCGAGTGCCGAGTCTAGTCAACTCCTCTACCCTGACCGCTCAGCCACCGAACCAGCTTGTCGGCGGCGATGTCGCAACTCCTCTTGAGCTGCCGTTCGAGAAATCTGGTCCCGAAAAAATGGTACTTTGAGCGGTCTCGAACCCGGGACCTGCTGCTTCCCACATCATGCTCTTAACCACTGAGCCACCGGGACGCCATGGCACCCGCCCTGCCTGCGCTGGTACTCAATCTTCTCTGGATATACCTCCCCAAGCAATTGGTCGCCGAAAAAATTGTATATACTACCGGTCCCGAACCCGGGACCTGCTGCTTCCCACATCATGCTCTTAACCACTGAGCCACCGGGACGCCATGGCACCCGCCCTGCCTGCGCTGGTACTCAATCTTCTCTGGATATACCTCCCCAAGCAATTGATCGCCGAAAAAATTGTGTATACTACCGGTCCCGAACCCGGGACCTGATGCTTCCCACATCATGCTCTTAGCCACTGAGCCACCGGGGCGCCATAGCACCCGCCCTGCCTGCGCTGGTACTCAATCTTCTCTGGATAGACCTCGTCAAGAAGTCGGTTGCCTCTGCCGAAAAATATGCTCATGGCACTAGCCTCGAACCCGAGACCTGCCAGTCAGGAACGCAGCACTCTAACCACGGCGCTACCAGGATGCTATGCACGCCACCAACCTGGCGCCAAACTTCAATAGCCACCCATCTTGCTTGATGCTGGACAAATAATAACTTCGGCGATGGGGTGAGCGCGCAACCAACCGGTGTGCGTAGCAACCAAGTAGCGCAGTGGTTAGAGTGCTGCGTTCCTGACTGGCAGGTCTCGGGTTCGAGGCTAGTGCCATGAGCATATTTTTCGGCAGAGGCAACCGACTTCTTGACGAGGTCTATCCAGAGAGGAAAAGTACCAGCGCTGGCAAGGCGGGTGCCATGGCGCCCGGTGGGTCAGGGTTAAGAGCAGTTGTGGGAAGCGCAGGTCCCGGGTTCGGGACCGGTAGTAACCAATTTTTTCGGCGACCAATTGCTTGGGGAGGTATATCCAGAGAAGATTGAGTACCAGCGCAGGAAAGGGGGGGTGCCATGGCGCCCGGTGGCTCAGGGTTAAAGGGAGTGTGGGAAGCAGCAGGTCCCGGGTTCGGGACCGGTAGTAACACAATTTTTTCGGCGACCAATTGCTTGGGGAGGTATATCCAGAGAAGATTGAGTACCAGCGCAGGAGGGCGGGTGCCATGGCGTCCCGGTGGCTCAGTGGTTTAAAAGCATGATGTGGGAAGCAGCAGGTCCCGGGTTCGGGACCGGTAGTAAACAATTTTTTCGGCGACCAATTGCTTGGGGAGGTATATCCAGAGAAGATTGAGTACCAGCGCAGGCAGGGCGGGTGCCATGGCGTCCCGGTGGCTCAGTGGTTAAGAGCATGATGTGGGAAGCAGCAGGTCCCGGGGTTTGGGACCGGTAAATACCAAATTTTTTTGGGACCAATTTCTTGAAGGAATTTAAAAGAAAATTGGACCCCGCCCCCGGCAAGGGGGGGTTCCTGGCTGGGGTCAGGGTTAAAAGGAGTTGAACAGCCGGCCCGGGGTTTGGGGTCAAATAACCCAATTTTGAAACCCCTCGAGGGTTAAGGGCCCCGAACTGGCTCTACGGGCCCCAAAAAACCGCCGGGACTTTGGGTGGGGCCAAACCCAATTACCCCGGGGAACCCCTAATCTGGTTCCGAAGCCCCGGCAGGGGGCCGCCAAAAGAACCCCGCGTTCCCAATAAGAACCCGGAAGGGCCCCGATCGGCGGGTCTCCTTGAGACTTTCGTATTGCCACTTTTTGCCGCCGATTTTTTCGTTTTTTTTTTTGAATATTTTTATTTAATTTTTTTATTAGGTAGGCGAACTATAGGTAGGCGATAAATGGCAATATTTTATTGAATATTTTTATTCAATATTTTTATTAGGTAGGCGAAATATAGGTAGGCGAAATAGACAGGTAGGCGAACATTTAGGTAGGAGAAATGATATAGACTCAAAAAAGGTACGGAAGTTCCGTAGTAGGACAGGTACGGACGGTCCAGGCAAATTATTGACCAGACATGATCCATACTTTTTCCGTACTTTTTTTTTCTCGCAGTGATCCATAAAAGTGAAAATTTTCATTTTGACACCACGGTTGCAAAACGCGGGCCGGGGACACCGCGTAAACGGTGGTTTTTATTCTTTCAAAAACTCGTTTTTGGGTTTTCCGAAACATGGAATTCCAAAAAAGGGTCCTCCGGATTTTTTATCTTTTTTTACGTAAGGGGAAAAGCATCAGAAAAAGGCCCCTTTCTGAGGCGTCCGTTTCGTAACGTATTTTCCGTATCGGAAAAGTTTCTTCTTGTTCCTCCCTGTTGGAAAATTCGAATTTCTTTCAATTTGGAGGGCCTTGCTTTGGTGGCCGTTTTTTTTCCCTCCCATTTTTTTCTTTTATTTCCCCTCTTTACTGCATTTTATCACCTTTCGCCCCCCTTTTTTTTTCCCCCTTTTTTCCTCTTTTTTTCAAAATTTTTTCCTTTTTCTTTTGTCTTTTTCCTTTTTTTCCTCTTTTTTTCGAAAAACCTCTTTCCCTCCTCCTTTTTTCTTTCGTTCGTTTCTTTTTTCCCATCGCCAGGGGCACCCCTCACATTGGCTTTTATTCT